TGGATCTCAAATAAGGTAGTAACAATAAGAAATTAAATCAAACAGTATTCATAGAATGGATCGTTAATAAGATGGCAACACATCCTACATATATGTTAGCATAAGCAAAAATTTGTGCACTGATAGCTTACACAATATAACGCTGTTAAACTTTGTTACTAATATCTCTATCACACCTATTGATTAAACTCAAATTCTCAACCAGAAGCAGTCACATTGCTAACAAATTCAGGTATCTCTGAAAATCGGTTTATATTTTTGTCAGTTATTCTAATTCTAAAAAGAAAAGCAACAGATGAATACAGGTGAATTTTGAAATATATTGGTGGTGCCTAAATATACTATAAGAGAGCTATTTTGTGATAAATTTCTAAATAATACTGATAATAAAAAAGTGAGTCCCCTCCCCTTCTATCAAGCCAATCATACAGTCTTTTTTTTTTCCCCACACCATTGTTTAAAATCGTCAATTAACAATTATATTTATTAAAATTACATACCACTTTCTTTACAAATTCATCATGAATGGATTCTTCAATGAAAAGACGGCCTGCAGCTATACAGTTCTCACCTTTGTTGAAGAACACACCACCCATTCCCTGTATGTTTGATAACATCAAAATTTAATTAATATTTATTCTGTGTAAGAAATGGGTACAAAATGTATCAATTGAAAAATGTATATTCAAAGTAAATTCAACAATAAGATAACTAAAATAATAATTGAAAAATGTATATTCAAAGAAAATTCAACAATAAGATAACTAATGTAATAATTGAAAAATGTATATTCAAAGTAAATTCAACAATAAGATAACTAATGTAATAATTGAAAAATGTATATTCAAAGTAAATTCAACAATAAGATAACTAATGTGATAATTGAAAAATATATATTCAAAGTAAATTCAACAATAAGATAACTAATGTAATAATTGAAAAATGTATATTCAAAGTAAATTCAACAGTAAGATAACTAATGTGATAATTGAAAAATGTAAATTCAAAGTAAATTCAACAATAAGATAACTAATGTGATAATTGAAAAATGTAAATTCAACAGTAAAATAACTAATGTAATAATTGAAAAATGTATATTCAAAGTAAATTCAACAATAAGATAACTAATGTAATAATTGAAAAATGTATATTCAAAGTAAATTCAACAATAAGATAACTAATGTAATAATTGAAAAATGTATATTCAAAGTAAATTCAACAGTAAGATAACTAATGTAATGCATCCACACTTCATTGTCTAGTGGAGAGATACCAACTTAATGAAATTTCTTTTAAATTACAAATCAAACAATTTTTACTTTTTGAAAACTACTGCCATTCACCCTTTCATGTACATTGTTACATTTCAGCTGCTTAGATTTAGTATATTTGAATTTTTGAGGGCTAATCTGCTATCTTACTTGTCTTACAGCACGGTCCATATCACAGTCTGAGAAAATAATCAAAGGAGACTTTCCACCTAGCTCAAGAGACACACGCTTCAGGTTGGAGGAAGCACAGCTAAAAATTCGAGATGCATCAAAAATAAAGTATTATGCCACTTTTAATACACTTTTTTTTTTACATTTTAAAGTAGTCCAGAGATGCCTGTCTGGTATGATACAGTTAATCCCAAGAAACAAATCATTCTTAACTTGATAAAGCTACAATAACATGGCAGTATCCTCTATCTTATGATAATGCCTAAAGTCACAGGTCTGAAATGGTAAACAGCAAAGAGATTTGAAAGAGTTTATGCCAGCACAAAACACTGAATAAATAAAGATCTCTCTCCTAGGTTATGTTGGGGACAGAAAACTTCATATATATATATATATATATATATATATATATATCAAAAGTATTAACAGAGCTTAA